ATATCTGTAAATTATTTAAATTATTTACAAGCCTAAGGAATCCACAAAGTTAATATGGGAGCCAACAGGACATAATTAGAAGGGCTTAAAAGGATGTTTGGGTGCGTGGGGAATTGTACTTGCATTTTTTTATCTGTGCTACATGATTTGTACCTGAGAAAGTCCCAAAAGGATGAAATGCATTGTATGACTTTCGGTCACTTTTGTGAATACATTTGCTGTTTTTAATTTACATGTAAGTGAATCTAATATTTTTATATATATTTCTATGCATGTGTTATACATTTCTGTTCATCTTTTCCCTGTCTATGGTTCCTACCGATGGGAGTGAACACTGAGCTTAGGAATCCGGTTCATTAAAGGCATATCAACATTGACATCATATCGGAAGATATTAATAAGGCACATACTGATATACCAAGGGTTGGTGGCCAATTTGAAATATTTTATTATATTTGGTTTTACACTGTTAAACACAATGTCCTGGTTTTCTGTTTTGCTATCATAGCCCTTTCCCCTACTATAATTATAATTAACAAGCTGGTTCTGGCAGGAGAATAAATGGACTTTAAAAAAAAAAAAAAAAAACCTTACTGGACTTGTTCCCATACTTGTCTCAAGTAATTAGAAACAAGTTGATGAGAGCTACAATATCTGTCACTACTGAAGTATTGCGGTTTCCATATTTAATGACTGAGTATAAAGACACTGCGGAATGTTTTAACATCTTCCATAGAGATTGACATTAGTATCTAGATTCTAATTAACACCTGAATTGTTAAATCTACCACCTGTCCCTAACTGATTAAAAAAAGGACATGGACCTCATCTAGTTATAAAGATAAAAAGAGAAGTTGACTGCTAACTCTCAATACATTCTAAGGTAAAAAAATAAATGAATTCCATCTTTAAGTAAATTAAGCATAAAAATCGGCCCATATAAGCAGGGCGTATTTTTAAACAAATACCGGTGAATTTTTTTTCATTAGGTTTATGCAAACACAAAGGGCAACTTACTTGACCAACCACAGGTGAAGTCTGCATATGCTGATTGAAACTTTTATATTGCCTTGACGGGGTTGCCATGGCAATGAATTGGAAAATGCATCTTTTTCTTTCTTGATATACATCCAGCTTGCAAAATGGGGAACAATAAGTGGTGGTTCAGTACAAGTGGAACACGGAGCAGAACATGTAATTATCAACATATTAATGTTAAAAAAAAAAAAAACTTTAACAGATCAATCTATTAATAATGACTCTCATTGTCTTCCTGCTGTAATTTGGTTATATAAATGGAGACCCTAAGAACCCTATTCTCATTTGAATATATATATTTTTAATGTATTTATTTATTAAACACTGCTTTGTACAAACTCTTTTTCTGCATTTTGTTAGCAATTGTTTTTATTCTGCATTACAGAAATTGAAAGGTTTTTTGGGGGGATATCTAATTGCATGAACTTGATCATCTTTGGTAAGTATTTGTATACAATGGACAATTAATATATTTTTTTATTTTATTGCAGGGAAAGTTAATAGAGGACATATATTTTTGGAGGAAATACTTACTGAATTCTGTGTTCTTCTTAAGCCTGGACCTCTGACAATTAGAGTGTGCACGGGGCTCTCGTGTTTGCAAAATAGTTCCTACATCAAATAGTCCCTTAATTCATTGTAACAACCTTTACCTGCCATACATAACTTATTGTTTAAGAGGGTCCATTGAGATATGTACCTGAGATAAGGGAAAAAGTGAGAGACAACCCAATCGTCTTCCTGGTGAATAGATGGTCCTGGGGACCCCTCAGTTTTCATTTAGTGATGTGTGTGTACGTATGAATTTGAGAGTGTGTGTGTGATTGTGTGTGTGCAGATGAATGTGTATATATATATATATATATATATATATATATATATATATATATATGTGTATATATATATATATATGTGTATATATATATATATATGTGTATATATATATATATATATATATATATATTTATACAGATTTGAGTATTTGTATATGAATGTGAGTAGGTGTGTATATGATCTGTCAGAGTCTGTATGAATCTAGTAGAAATGAATGTAGAAATATTTGTTTTTATATGAATGTGAGTTTGTAATTTCCGTAAAAAAAAGGGTGTCAGGGTCATTGCAGAAAGACAACAAAAAAATTCTTCAGAGTTTGAGGGGTGCAATATACATTTGTGCCAGGTAACCTACATATGCCTATGCCAGTTACCTTTTGGCTAATGTATTCTGGATTCCAGTCTCACTGAGCTGACCTTTCATCTTGATATGTAGATAGTGTTTCACCCATGGAACCTGCATCCACCTACATTCTAAGAAATATTCTTAAGGCATCGCCACAATTTCCTTCAGTCCTACCTTAGATTGTTCAATACTTTTCATAGTACAGGTGAGTTAGAATTTTTTTTTATTTCAAAGCCTGGGTTTTTACAGAGTGAAGCTTCCTTCCATTTTAGAAACTATGTCTGGACTGGAACATGTTCATTAGTTTTACTGAAATAAATGTTGTGCTCTTTTTGCCTTTTGCATTTCTTTTTACTTTGAACTTAAACCTGCTTGGATTCTTTCACATGCTCACTTCTTTTTTATATGGATCTTTTCATCATATTTTGTTGTCACACATGCCTTTTTACATCTAACACTCCCAGTTGGTGGATGCTCCCATTGGTTATTTATATATACAGCTTATCTTAACTTCTTTTATCTTTATCTGGTCCCTTGGTGTGGAGGTTATAAATCTACTGGATGATGGGTCAGTAGAAGCACGCTTTTACACATCTTTGTTCACTACTTTTTATTATCTACTTTGTGTTTTATATTCTTCCTCATCTGTCTCCTATTGATACTTCTTTTTTTCTATTGTGTATATGAATCCCAACAAAACTCTGTAATTTGTGTCTTTCAGCCTACTTGTCTGGTCTAATTAAAAATTAATTTAAAAGAAAAATAATAAAAATAATAATATAATAATTGTTAGTCTTGATTGCATATTCTTCATTTTGTATCCTATTCTCCTAGAGAAGCATCTATATTTTGTTAGAGGCTGAATTATTTTTTAGAATGAATTCTAGTTTACACTTGATGATTACAAGGTGCTGTATGGATTTGCTTTATGATAGAGAAGATATAAAATATTAGATATGTGTTAAAAACACAAAGGAATTTGCAGAGACAAAGTACAGGATTTTCTCGAGAAGAACTATGTAGCGCAAATTGAAGAACAAAGCTTGTGAATTGAAGAACCGAAACACGTCATTCTTATTTAGTAAACCATCTAATCTTCTCAGTCTTTATTTTATATGCTAACCCAAAAATAAATCACAAAATGAGTTCCTACCATCTCTAAATCACATATAAGAGGGCTGACTTTTTGTGTTTCATTGTGTTTGTATTGTATTTTTTCTTCTACATATTATGACATTTTTATAGTTAACTAGGAGTATGGGAATTTGTCAAAATATGGATTACTAAAGGCGATTGAGTTGCACTTTATTGTATATATAATAGATACTATTTTGGAATTTTAGAAACAATACCAAATACACAGAATGTTCACTTTATTGTTGTAATATATAAGCTCTGCGTTACTTTTTGTTGTAGAACTGCTAAAGGATTTATGAATTTTGTTTTTAGATGTTGATTTGTGTTTAAAAAAAATTTAAAAAGTCAAAATTATAACTAATGTATCATTATCTTTTCACAAAGGAGAAAACTTCAAACTGGAAACAGATTGCGACCTTTCAGCTCCCCACTACTTCCTTTGGGGATATCTGAAGGAGCAGCTCAAAGAGAATATCTGTGCAAAAATGCTAGCGCCTGTAACGGTACTGTGGCAATCATGCCTATGTCACGAGCTCCTGGAGGAGCCTGCTAGATAGCTAGCCTCCTGCCCAAGGGCTACAGTCTGTATCCAAAGACCCTGCATTGCAAGCACGTTCTTAAAGGGGATATGGGAGCCTAACCTTATCCCTGGTCAGCTTACATTGGCCCACGTCCTTCCAACACCCCCATTCATTCACGTTTTAGAGCGCAGGCATGACGTGGACCAATCAAATTAAACAAAGTCTTATTTAGACTTACCTGGCCCTAGATTCCGTGCCCTATTGTGGTTTCTGTTCCCAGTACCCTTTAGTGCATTCCTTGGTTTATTGTATTGTATTCTGGTATTGACCTTGGCTTAGTTTCCTGATGCTGTGTTTCTCTTTATCCCTTGCCTGACTATTACTGTGTACCTAACTCTGGCTAGTTATCATTGTCACTGTCTCTCCGTTACCCAGACCTTGGCTTGTTGTTTGACTATGCTTTATGCTTTATGCTTGGTCTTGTTATCCTAAACTCTGCCTGTTAGGGTCATACTCCATGACAGAGCCTCCAAAACACTAACTAATGTTATAAACAATGCAATCAAAAGAGCCCTTCTTTGCAAGGTGGTAAATGAAGCTCATTTAAAAGATGTTATCTTCCGTACCTAGTCAAACAAATCTGTGTTAAGTATTCATAGTATGTAATATTATTGAAATTGAAATTAACAAAAAGTAATTGACTCCTCAAACCCTACTCTGAATTTTGACCCACCCTGTATATTGTAAGGAACAGCAAAAAAACAAACAAACAAAAACATTTACTTCTGGTCAAAAAATAATATTTTTGTGATTCTGCTTGCCAAGTGCATTTAAAGGGAAACTATAGTCACCTGAACAACTTTAGCTTAATGAAGCAGTTTTGGTGTATAGAACATGCCCCTGCAGCCTCACTGCTCAATCCTCTGCCGTTTAGGAGTTAAATCCCTTTGTTTATGAACCCTAGTCACACCTCCCTGCATGTGACTTGCACAGCCTTCCATAAACACTTCCTGTAAAGAGAGCCCTATTTAGGCTTTCTTTATTGCAAGTTCTGTTTAATTAAGATTTTCTTATCCCCTGCTATGTTAATAGCTTGCTAGACCCTGCAAGAGCCTCCTGTATGTGATTAAAGTTCAATTTAGAGATTGAGATACAATTATTTAAGGTAAATTACATCTGTTTGAAAGTGAAACCAGTTTTTTTTTTCATGCAGGCTCTGTCAATCATAGCCAGGGGAGGTGTGGCTAGGGCTGCATAAACAGAAACAAAGTGATTTAACTCCTAAATGACAGTGAATAGAGCAGTGAAATTGCAGGGGAATGATCTATACACTAAAACTGCTTTATTTAGCTAAAGTAATTTAGGTGACTATAGTGTTTCTTTAATCTGCCACTATTAGGTTAAACGTTAAAATAAAGGGTATATCTTTTTTTAAAAAATTTTTTATTGTATTCTTGTTTGTTATATCCAACTCTGTCATAAGCATTGGAAAATAACTGCAGGTTATCTAAATTTGCCACCAGCAACAATTAATTCCATGTCCAAGCAGGTGGACCCGCATTATGGTGGTTGCAGTCCACAGGAACTGGAGTGCTGTAGCTTAGCTTCCATTGCTTTGGGGGAGAGTAGATTAATGTCTCAGTGGCGCTGTCTAATTTACACATATCCTTTCCCTGATGTATGTGTTCTAAACCATACATTCTAGAATCATTTTGCCGCTAGTGGAACTTAGCAGATCTGTACAGCGCTGTCCTAATTTGTAGCCGTTATTCATTACAAATCCTATTAAATTGTACCGCACAGTTTGAAAACCCTGAGGCTCAGAACATTATAATTTTGTGTAACTTGGCACATTTATTCACTGCAATGTTCAAAAGAGAATTGTTTTTTTTAAAAGAATTCCTCATTTCCTCCAGCTGTTATGACAGTTTAATCCCAGACAAGCTACCTTACGTTGGATATTACTGTTGACATTTGTCCCACCAGTTTCTCCAAAGACTAAAGTTAAATATTGCACATCTGTTTTCAAGAGGTTAAACATTTAAAACTGACCAGATATGAACTTTGACTGTCTTCCTTTCATGCTTAGAAAATATCATCTAGAGCATGTACCCGGCCATCTTCTTAAATTTTTTATTAAACTGCATAGAATTTACAAAATGGGACAAGGGGAACAAAATTCTCTCTATGTATGTATGTATATATGGAGATACACACACAAAATTCCAAGATTAGTTGAACTGACCAAAAAGAAAGATCACCTGTCATCTATGCATTGGTTGGATATGGGAATCTGAATATTCAACAAGATTCAACCTATTTTATTTAGCCATATTAAAACAGCAGATACACATTTATAGACATATCAATCAGGTATCATTTTGTTTAATTTGTTAACACTCCAAAATGGCAAGTCTTGCACACCAATATTGGTGTATGGAAGGACAATCCACCCAGGGTCATGGACGCCCAAGGCACATTGACAGTGTCATACCTATCATAGTCGCCTATCATAGTCGCAGCTCCAGCCAATCTCTGTGTGTAGCATGGCCGAGCACCGCTGTCTGACAGGAAGTACTCACTGAGAGAGCACTTCTGTCAGGTGGTGTACCACGGCAGCCACGAGTAAGTAGGTGTACCCCCAGGGGAGGGGGTAATGGGACACATGTGGGGAGGGAGGTTATGGGACTTGGGGGAGGGAGGTAATGGTACTAATAGAGGGGCTGTGGGAGGTAATAGGACACATGAAGGGGCTGGGGAGAGAGAATGGGGCACATGGAGGGGTTGAGGGGATGGATTGGGGCACGTGGAGGGGTTGAGGGGATGGATTGGGGCACATGGAGGGGCTGAGGGGAAGGAAATGGGACACATGAAGGGGATGGGGGAGAAGGAATGGGATACATGTGTCCATGTACCCCATTCCCTCTTCCCTAACAGTGGGTGGAGGAAGAGGGTGGAAGGAGGTAATGGGACTAATGGAGGTGATGGGGGGAGGGAGGTAATGGGACACATGGAGGGGCTGGGGGGATGGAGGTAATGGGACACATGGAGAGGCTAGGGGAGGGAATAGAACACATCAAAGGGCTGAGGGGAGGGAATGGGACACATAAAGGGATTGGGGAGGAGAGAATGGGACACAAGCAGGGGCTGTGGTTTAAAGGGAATGACACACATGGAGGGTCGGAGGGAAGGAATGAGACACATGGAGGGGGAAAATGAGACACATGGAGGGACTGGGGGAAGGGAATAAGATGCATGGAAGGACTGTGGGACGAGAATGAGACACATGGAGAGGCTAGGGAAGAAATGAGAAACATGGGGAGAAGTGAGACACATGGGGGATGAAACACATTGAGGGGCTGGCAGGAAGGAAAGACACCTGGTGGGGGGGGGGGGATGAGACACCTGGCAGATGTGAAATAAGACACATGGAGGGGCGTGGGTGGCCACAGGGCATACTTCGCACCTGGATCTTGTGGTTTATGGTTACGTCTCTGCATATTGATGCAAGTGAGGAACAAAGGCTATCCCGTCTGGTCCAATCACACAGAAGAGCTTTCTAAAAAATGTAATGCTTGCTATGATAGAAAGGTGTCAAAGCACACAGTGCATCACAGTTTGCTGCATATGGGGCTGTTTAGCCCTTAGACCGGTCAGCGTGCCCTTGATGACCCCTGTCCTCTACCAAAAATACCTTCAATAGGGACTTGAGCATCAGAACGAGTCCATGAAGCAATGAAAGAAGGTGGTTTGGTCTGTTGAATCACGTTTTCTTTAGATCAGATGGATGGCCGGGTGAGTATGTGTGTATGCAGGGGCTGAGGAGAAAATGAAAAACATGAGGGGAGATGAGACACATTGGAAGATGAGACACATGGGGGGCACCAGGGTTCTGTGGTTTCTGGTTACACCTCTGCATATTGATGCAAGTAGGGAGCAAAGACTATCCCTTCTGGTCCAATCACACAAAATAACTTTCTGAAAAACTTAATACTGGCTATGCTAGAAAGGTTTTAAAGCACAGTTTTCTGCTGTTTAGCCCTCAGACCGGTTAGAGTGCCCTTTATGGTCCCTGTCCTCTACCAAAAATGCCTTCAATGGGGACTTGAGCATCAGAACTAGTCTCTGAAGCAATAAAATAAAGTTGCTTGGTCTGATGAATCACGTTTTCTTTAGATCGGATGGATGACCAGGTTAGTGTGTATGTATTTGTCGTTTACCTGGAAAAAAGATGTCAGCAGGATACAGGTTAGCAGATTCAGTGTTATGCACTGACCAATGTTCTGCTGGGAAACCTTGGCTCCTGGCATTCATGTGTTATTTACTTTAAAATATACCACCTACCTAGAAATTGTTGCAGACCACTTACCTGCAATGGTGATGCAATTGTGTTACCTAATGGCATGACCTCTTTCTGCAGGATAATGCTTCTGCCATTCAGCGAAAATTGTTCAGGAATGGTTTTTGGAATATGACAAAGAGTTTAAGGTGTTGCCTTGGCCTCCAAATTCACTAGAACTCAATCCAATTGAACATCTCTGTGATGTGCTGGAATAACACTTAAAGGACCTGCTGCTAATGTCTTGTTGCCAGATACCACAGGACAAGTTCAGAGATTTTGTGGGGTACATGCCTGAATGCATCAAAGTTATTTTGGCAACATGAAGGGGCCCTACATAATATTATGCAGGTTATTTTAATGTTGTTGCTGATAGGTGTAATATATCCATATCTAGAATTTTTTTTTTGGTTCCTCTGCTTTTATCCTCTCGTGGTCTATTTTTCTCACTTGGTCTATGAAATAAATGGTAGGGAAATGCTCCTATCAGTATACAGCAAATATATACATAATATTTATACTAAAAAGAAACATTCTCTTGCACTCTGGCTAAATAATCCCTTAAATGCTGGGTGCTTTTCAGCCTGGGTTTCTGTCATCCAGCTTTCCAATAATGTGGCTGCATTCGCGGTCTTCTCAGTTTCAAATCTTTATTTAATTATTAAAAATGATTATCAACATTTCAGTTTTTCATTCGGGACTTTCATCAGGATCAACAATATATATACATTTAAAATCAAGTACATTTATAGGCAAGAGCAATTACCAAAGTGACTTACCCCCAGGTGATGTGCATCCTAGACTGGTGTCCCGGTGTGGCTAGTGTGCATGCATAAAATGTGTTCCGCCCCCAAGTGGCGTCATAATATAATGACATCATACGCATCACCATAGCTACGCGTGAAGCTCCTATGTCACTATGGGAATGTGGTACAAATAATTATTAAGTACATTATATACAAGCCAGCGTGAATTATTATTTAGAATAGGAAAAAGGGTGATAGACATGTGAACAGAGAAACCTGATTAGAGCTCTATATAGAATAAACCGTGTGTACAGCTTGTATACTAATATTTATACTATTTATATAGTTTTCAGTACATTGATTGGCCCTTTTTCAGACCTTTCTGGTTCTGAATATTTTTCATGGACAATATTTGGGCGAGGTGAACCACCAACTGATTTAGTTGAGAGATTGAGATTGGAGATCCCAAATAAAAAAATGGTTTGGCTGAACCAAATTCTTATACCGTGCGAATGAGGTGTCAAATCCATGCAGCCATAATAAATTGATTTAAGACCAATAATACTAGTGGAGGTACAAAACACAACAAAGTGTAAAAATCACACAGAGTAGGGGTGAACCCTTCAGACTAAATATAAATATACAGTTAATAATACTTGTGGATATGAATAGTAAAAATCTTCACAATGCCTTCAAAGACAATGTGAAGATTTTTACTATTCATATACACAAGTATTATTAACTGTATATTTATATTCAGTCTGAAGGGTTCCCTCCCACCCCCCACTCTGTGTGATTTTTACACTTTGTTGCAGGTGTTGTTGTTGTTTTGTACCTCCACTAAGGTGTGGGGGAAACACCTATCTCACCCTTCTACATACTGATTGCTATTCCTCGAAGCGTCCCACTTGTACCTTTCTGTATATTCCAATAATGCCAGTAGCCTTTTTAATGTAGTAAGGATCCCCAGGTGCCTAGCAACCCATCTACACTAATTATGTTATCCTCAAACTATGATAAACATTGGGAGGATGTATATCTAAAAATAATCAGTTGTAATTGAAAACTTTCTTAAAGATATGCATCTATTTTCTTTATCTTCTATCTCCATCCATAAAAAATGGCCGAAAAAAAATCCATTGACACCACCGTAACTGTTGGAAAACAAAAAGTAAAATCTGCACTAAAAAATAAATTTAAAAAATACGAAAACAAATTCAAGCTGCAGATGCTTTATAATTGCATCTGCTGACTCAAA